GGGGTGTAGAGGCCACATAGCTACCAGAGTATGTTGGAAGATGCGACAAGTGAAAGGTGCATTGAATGCACTGCAGTTACGCTTTGAGATTACCTATAGGCTGTAGTTTAAATCAACCTCTGATAAATGTTAAATGTACCTACCGTAGGTCCCTCTTACCCGAAAAGTTACTCATCGCATGGCTCCTAGGCAAACAGAGGCGGAAGTGTTACGAGTCCTCTGAAGTTTGTTGTTTACTTGGTTACCTTCACGAGTTCCAGGGCTGAACACCTATTATATAGACACGCAGTTTTCCATAAATCCTAACTTCCTAAGCTAAGCTGGTGTCCCGTAGGACTGGGTAATTTGGTAAAGTTATTCTTAGCGATACCTTGGCCCTTGACAATCATAGATCCACCTCCTGTATCGAGGTAGGGAATGGGCGAAGCAGCCCCCCTCCTCCATAGCAGTAAGGGCATAACAGCAAGGGCGGATGGGGTAAAGGGACGAGTGAGGTCTGATCATGTGGCACTGGGAACCCAGCTTGATCATCTTGTACGCCTGCACCATACTAGATCAAGTTCTCACGGTCAACGCTACTCCGATCGCATTTACTGGTTTTCTCTTCTTTCTCGTATGCAGCAGCCGTGCGCGTTCCGCCGTGACGGGGGCACAGCATACATGCTATGTACACGTAAATTTGCGATCCCGAGCGACCCGTGACATGGTAGGGTCGTCGTCAGACCGCCTGATGGGGACTACATCGCACAACCCCCTTCCTAGAAGCTGCGACAGACCAACACTCCATCCATCGTGGCCCGACCCGCGCGGAAAATCGCGATCAACGGAATGCCCTTCTGGGCAGCCTCATGCTAGTCAGCCAGAGTCTTGCCGGAAGTCCAACCATAAGGAACTCTTGATAGCCCTTTCACCGGTAACGCCAGAGCTCCATGCCCCTCCTTACCCCCATATCCCTTGGAAAGATTCGCAAATCGATGCACACCTTTGAAGTGACTATGATCATAAAGAGCTTTTCCGTAGCCCTTCCAATACCCAATAACACACTTTCCTCTGCAACCCCCTCTTCATCGCTCGCTCGAAATACCCCTCGTAAACGTATTTACCTCGTACATTACATTCATCATTCGAGTCCACGCATCCCCTTAAGTCTGTCGAGCTCCACCGGAGGCTGATGTATGCTATCCACCTCGGGTCCCGAAGATCCGTCGAGATCGAAGATTCCCTGGGATATTGTTTAACTTTGTCCTCGTTCCATGTGACTATAGCATGGATATTGTTCTGCGGCTGGTGGTAAGCCGAGAAATGGTGGCAAGCAGCCCAGCCTGCCTGTCGGGCGTCAATCTGTCTGTCCGACACCCTAGCTCATACCCATCCTGGGCTCGAAAACTCAACGAAGCAGAGTTCGGGATCTGCTATCGGAGGGCCCATCTTTTTGCTAGCTTTTAGGATGACTCGGTAACCAGGCCAGATATACCCTGGTTATGAATCAACACATAGTCCGCTTTAAAAGGTCGCATCGTTGCACCCTTCGGTGACACGACGCATATCATACAGCTGCATTGACGTTGTTCGTCGCCATGATCCAACACAGGGAATCTGCAGCTCATTCGATGAGAGGCTTCTTTTGACCTCCGACCATGCATAATCCTAATGTTGCAAGCGCGTTGGGGTCGTTGGCTAGCACGATATTCCTTGCTGGGAGCATCGGGTTGTGCGGATCGATAGACGAGGCATCTTTGGCCGCTTGCTCGATGGCGTCCATCTCTTCCTTGCAAGCTTGGTGGTCCATCGGGCAAATGACAATAGGTTGGCGAAGGGTGATGTCGCGTGTTGCGTTGAGATGTGCCTAAAGTATGAGCACTACGTTAGCCATGCAATTGAGAGTTCGACTTTGATACGCAGCTTCATAGATAGGGGTTAACACGCACCTTGATGCTGAGGAAGAATTCTATCTTGTAGAGAGTAGATGTTGTAGTAAACGAAGTGACCTGATAGTTCGGGAAAGCCGGTGGCGCTCTCCGGATAATGCCATTCGAATCCCTGAGATCCTTGTGCGGAAAAACCACGCCCATGTTGGTAACATAACCAGTTTCTGGTAGTTTCGTGCCTACAGCTTGAACCTGTTTATGTAATCTATTTACCTTTTTGGTCGGCTCATCACCCTCGGGGTTATATGTGATCTCTTCCTCAATCGCCAAGGTAATCTTCTGGATCGTAACCCTCCTGGCCTTGTTGAGCCAGTCCCTGTTGGGGAGGAGCTGGATATAGACTGTTATGGGATCCATGGGTCCGTAACTCCACCTTGGCAATGAGATACCTAAGCTGACTATGTTGTCGACAGTGGCAACCTTGGTCTCTGGCTTGTTGTACATTCCGAATGTCGATAGCGTGTCGTATCTCTGCAAAGGCACGGGGAATGCCACCTTCTTCGTCCATTGTCCTTGTTGTACAGTGACGACTAACTCGTAGTATGTCTCCGCAGTCCTGCTCGGAAGCTGCAACGATGCAGGCGGTATTCTTCGGCTCGTCTCCTCCCCTCCGCGCCCAAACGGTATAAATAATACGAAGGGAAGGTCCATGGCCATGACGCTTTCGGCCTCCCTGCCCGTAGCGCATCGGTATAATAATAATTCTTTGCCAACAACATCTGTTGCGTCGCGTCGCGGTGTTCCAAGGTGGCGCTTAGCCACGTTCTCGGCGGCTGGGTGGATTGTTTCCCTTCTCTGAAGACATATTCGCACGAGTGATACGGCGACGGGGGCGGTATAGCCTTGTTCTGGCCTGATCTCGACTTTTCCTTCGATGCGCGGCTGGATATACGTCGGATTAGTCGAACATTCGCAGGTGATGCACATGCTACTAGTATCGTGAGGCTGTAGTTTTGTGTTCCCAACGCTCCGACGTGAGAAGCGGCCACCATGCCGTCTGATCCTCCGACCTAGCCAGAACAATATATACAAAGAACACTCACCAATGTGGCTGATATGCCAGGGTATCCAACCAAGAAGCTACTGTTTGGCGGGCCAGAAACCCGCACCGAGGCGGAGACCTTGTCCGCCATTTTGGGCGTTCAGTCGTGGCTCCTCAAGTCCACCGCCAACCAACTGGAAACTGGTGGAAGCTCGGGAATTCTACCCGGGGACTACTGGTGAAGTGGCCGGATGGTGTTGAAAAGAAGAAGTTGAGCCAGAGCAAGGTTGGACATGGGCGACTTTAATTGTTGTTGGTCTGCGCATCGATAGTGCCGTGTCGCAAAACGAGGGCGGGAGTGGAAATCGGGGTTTGAGTGCGGCGCGGGTGGATTGGCACTTTCCTCTGTAGCTTCGCGGGCGTCACATAGATCGGATCGGTTTATTGATTTGGCTCCAAGCTACAGACGGCGCCTCTGCCTTTGTTGGGGACTATTTGCTGGCAATAGCGGTGTCCGTATCAAATGATCGATCCGCCTTGGGAATTATGGCTATTGCTGTTGCTTCGGCCGGCTATCCACGAGGGACGTTTGATAGAGTGGTAGGTAACGATAATGATGATGGTGTGCGATAGGTAAGGTAAGAGGTCAAGAGATACGCTGCGGTAGGTTGCGGTGGTCGTGGTGAGATACAGCTCGCTACAGTTCGTTGCTAACTTGGCGGTGCCGCTTACAGTACCTTGGCTGCTTCCTTGGTACTACCTACCTACCTAGGTACGATGTGTCTGTGTGTATTGTATTATACATACATACTACATACAAACAGTACCTACCTACGGAACCTTGGAAGGTATGGGTATGGGACGGTGTTAGTTACCTGGTGGTTAGGCGGTTAGGTGGCCAGGTGCAGGTGGTTAGGTGATGTATTGTGTGATAGGCAGGTACTACCTACTACATGTAGGGGTGCCAATGCCGGTTATGCTGCAGGTGGTAGAAAGGAATCTAGTACCTCATGCCCAGGGGTCTCTGCTGTTCACTCCTGCAGGCCCAGGTTCTAGCAATGCTTTTCGTCTTACCGCCGTCAGAAAGGACGTGGTAGCATTGGTGGGCGATGAGCTAACTATTGATGTTGCTGTCGCTGTCGCTGTCGCTGTCCTGTTGCTCCCACCTCGTACGGCTCTGCGAAACCGGATACGCAAAGAGGAGCAATGGATAGCGGGCGGTCAGTTGGGAGGAATGACTTTATTGGAGGGCTGAACCGTCGACTCTGAGCTGTAAGCTGTCGGCTTTCTACAACTAGGTAGGTTAGATCTTCTCTTTCTTTCTCTTGTTCAGATAACTACCTACGATTGGAATACTTGACTGGTTTACATAGAGATGTGTACATACAATAACTGCCAAAAGTGACGCCTCGTTGGCTGTGTGCGCTGCCGATCTTGCAACCACCCAAGGTGTTCTTAAACTGCGGGGCGGGAACGGATCTGCATGCAGCAGACTCGACCTAGGAAGTTGAGTTCGGTAGTCTGTCTGTCTGTATACCACTTACACCATACCAGCATGGTAGTATGGCAGTATGGCCAACGTTGAACAGCAATGAGCACGCGCGTACGTACTGATGAAGG